CTGCATCAGCAGCTAAAGGTGCATGGGTTTTGCTGGACTGCATATTTTTCAGGGCTAGGGTTGCTAGAGCTGGCTGGAATTAAGGCTTGGACTAGCACTAGATATGGCCTGAGAGGATTTTTAAGGAGCTTGGGTTAGATCCTGGAGCAGAAAAGACCACTGGGCAAGTTTTAAGACTTCAGCCACCATGGATGTTTAATCCAGTTTAGATTTACAGCTGTTGCTGTCCCAGGGTTAACTGCGGAGTTTGCTCAAATGAGATGAACTGGATTTACATCTGGTCCTACAAAGACTGCCAGACTGGTTTTGTGGGATGATGAATTAGACATTAGATGTTCTTTTAGGTTCAAGCTTTTGAATGCAGGTAATTGGAGAGATTTGTGCACAGCTGTACTATAGAAATCTACCATGATATTTATTCTCTTAATTCACAGCAACCTCTGAAAAAGCAAACTTGCTAAAAAGTTGTTACTGTTTTATAATCACACACTCAGTGGCTTGGCAGAACAAGATAATTAGCAGCTAAACATTCCTGGGGAAATTTTTTTTCATAGAACCATCTCTGAAACATACCTTTTTATAACCCATTTTATCCATTTTGTGTCTTTTTTTCCCAAATATTTATGTCTCTGTGCCCCACACTGTGGTCCTTATTATATATGCACTACTTTTATATTAGTGTCATTGCTATCGCTATTATGGTTTACCTTGCAGATGTCTTATCAACATGCCCAGCACCAAAACTGTCCTGGGAGCTACTCTGTATGTGTTCAAATCTAATGTGGTCATATGTTGTCCGGTTGCTACTGAGCAAGAAGATGCATTACTTATTGTGGTAAAAAGCAAACTGTCTACAAAGGTTTTGTGCTAGGAAAGTCGGGCTAATTTTAAGCTGGGGACTTAAAGAGGAAGCTGGTTTATGGCTAGATTCCCCACCAGCATAGACTATCTCTGGGTGAGGTTAAAAGGGGCCAGGAAGCTTGGTTTTGTGGTGTACGTAGCAGGGACTATGTGGTTATTTCTAAACCTAAATCTGGATGGAGTAACCTTTAGTGTCATTGATTCCATCATGAACACTGTGCCTTTTAATCCATCAAATACGATTACTTCTCTCATCCCAAACTTCAAACAGCTCCAAGAGGCTGCAGTGGTTTTAAAAGAAAGCTTCTCGACTGGAATTGCCACAGAAACATTTTATTTTCCCTGAAATTATGCATGTTTCACACTAAGAAGGGTTATAATCAGCCCTGCAGCAGTAAGTAAATGCTTAAGATGAACTTTCAATGGCCTATCAGAGCTAGAAGTGGGCATTTTGATAGAAAGAGAACATTCTGTCCACACCAATGGACCATGCAGTATCTGTGCATAGACCGGAAAGAATATGATATGCTAGTATTTAGAATTAGGCTCCTCTCTGCATGGCTGCTGCTGAGTTTGCCTTTTCTGCCCCAGGCAGCAAGCATTACCCTCTAGCTTCCCACCATTATAAGGTTCAGCCTCCTCGGTTTCGAATAGCCTTAAGCACCACATGTGGTACCTGCTTTATCCCTCTTGTTTCTTTTTCTTCCTCCTGCCAACTGACTCCATTTTCCCTTCCCCGATGCCTTCCCTCCCTTCACAATTCCACCAGCTCTGCTCCCCACTCTTGACCTCAGGCTTTTTCCTTAGTCCTTCTGATATCTACCCAAGCACAGGCCCCTTTCACCAGCACCATTCCTGCTTCCTAGACTCTCATAATTGTTCCCTGTCGCTTAACAGGCTTACTCCCCTTCTTCTCTCTTCCTTTTCCTCTTTCTGAAGCTTTCACAGCAACTCTGACAGGTCACAGTCACTCCATCACCTCTTGGCCTTCATGGACACTTGAATGCTTCTGTATCAGGCTCTCTTTCTCTTTCTGAGGGATTTCCTGCTCCAAGACTTCCCAAATGGGTCACACAGGCTGCTTTGAGTGGCACCACAGCTCTTCCCTCTCTCCAAGTTGCCATCAGCTCCTGGCTACCCAGATCCTCCACACACCACTCCTTTTTGTCTTCTCTTCCAGTGCTTTCACACCCCTAATGCTCCACCAGATGCATCTCTGTAATGCTAATTTAGGCCTTGACCTACCCACAGTGTTTCCTCTCATACTGGGAATGTTAGAGACATGCAGGCATTTGCAGAAATGTGAAGACAACAGAAAGTCTTTTCACTACTATAGCTGCTAGAGGCTAAAGTAAAACCTGCATTTTTCTCATAGAAAGTATTTTCATGAGATCATGTATCCTGAACCAGTTTTGGAGAGGAACAGTTTGGTGGCAGAGTGTCTTGTTGACCCTGAAATCCGAGTGAAAGGAATTGTACCAATGAGATCTGTTTCTAAAATAAATGATATGGAAAGAATATGGAGAGGAGGCAGCTACAGGAGATGAAGACAACCCTGGAAGTGTGTTATTCCCACCTTGAAACAGATGACGGTCAAAGATAAAACAATCGTTCTCACTGCCTCAACAAGCAGCGCAATACCAGCAAGTTAACTCTGACACACAGGGCTGTGCATCTATCACAGGGTGGCCAAACAGAACAAAAAGGCTGAAAGCACAGATGGATAAATGTTTAAATTAATCCCAGTGAGAGATGAAGACACATGCCCTGTGTTCCATATATGTTCTACGAATGATTTGCATGCATCTTTATGCTTGCCTTGGTTTAGCTACCTCAGTTTGCTCGCCTGGTTAGAGAAAGTGAGGGAAAACATTCTTTCAGTGGCACATCACCATCTTGTGGAGAAGTTTAATTAGTGCAGCTCTCAGTTGGGAAACGAAGGCTGACCTGTCTCTTAACCTCAGATTATGCTGGAGTCTGAATGAATTTTGGGTACTTATGGTCTTGTTCATACTGGGGAACTGGCTTGCATAGTTGCAAGATTTATTCTGGTACTATCAGTTTGCTCTTCTGGAACAGCTCTTTGAGAGCACAGGAAATTTTTCAGGATCAGCAAAGGTGTCAACATTGCATTCAGACAGCAAAATCGGTTAACTTCCCTGAGTCAACGGATCTAACAGGGTGCAATTCATGTGCTGAGATCCTGGACCAGATGGATGGAGGGCTTCCACTGTCATTCAGGAGAAGCTAAGACAATATGCAAATATTTAAAATGAACCACTTCTTCCTATGGTATTCTCATTTTTCCTGGCACACGTACATCTCTGCCATAGAGCATGGAAATTATACAAACTAATATCCACAAAGCCAACACCGTTGAACTTATTTGTAAGGTTCCATGATGGCTTTCAGTACTCTAGGCAAAACTTTAGGCATAAATAGGACTCACTGTTCCTGTTGAGATATATTCAAATTCTAGCTCTATTTAGTTCAGGTAAGGCATTGAGCCTTTGTCTCTTACTTTACTAGGCTTTTGGGTACTTCAAGCATCTCTCAATGTCTCTGTTGAAGTTGTTTTTACATAAATATGACTAGGAGCTGGAAGACTGTTGTCAGTCTACTGCAAAGAAAAGGAGACTTCTTTAGAGAGGCTAGTTAACCTGCAAATCTCCTTGTATATATATGGCTTCAAAAAAAGGTGTTTGCACAAATTAATGGAATACAAATTTGCCGATAGCTGCTAAACATAAATACCAAAATCTAAATACCAAGTCACAAGAGGCTAGAAAAGTAGATGGATTTTGGGTCTCATACAGTACACGTTTCAGGGCAGCAGAGGTAGATAGCCTGACTACTAGGATACAGGCTGTTTAATTCTGCCTCAATGAGTGCTAATTGTTATTATATATTAGAAGAGTTTCACTAAGAAAGGGTAAAGAGAAGAATCTCTACACAGCTCATAGCCTAATGCAGTGTCTCCAAAGTATGGCAAAATGAACTGTCCCATAGTAGCACACAGCAAAAAGATTTCCAACAGGCCTCCAGCTCCCTCCCCAGTCTCTGTGGTCAAAGAGTGAGAGGCCCCAAAAGTCTGCCTCAGATAGAGCGTGCCTGCAGGCACTGACAGGAGCTGGACATGCTTTGCTGAGAGCTGGCTAGATGAAAGTCCATCAGCACCTGCCCACAAGCCTGTGTCTGCCACATTGGACTATGTGGGGGCTCAGGATTTGAGTTTCCTCTTAGCATCAAATATACCAGACATCAGTTTTCTGCTTCCTAGGTGCATATCCTGGGCATCAAGCTGTGAGATACTTATGGAGTATCTCTCCTGTTAGAATCATAGAATAGTTAGGGCTGGAAAGGACCTGAAGATCATCCAGTTCCAACCCCCCTGCCATGGGGAGGGACACCTCACACTAAACCATGCCACCCAAGGCTCTGTCCAACCTGGCCTGGAACACTGCCAGGGACGGAGCATGCACAACTTCCCTGGGCAACCCATTCTGTTCTTTGCTCCCTCTCTCTCTCTGAAAGATTGTGATTTATTTTCCATGGAGATCAGGGAAACTTGAATCTCAAACAAAGAGAAATGCCAGGAGAGAAAAACTATTTCCTGTCCAGGTCTATATATAGCTGCAATAGCTACAAAAGCTACAAGATTATAGAGCAGCCTAGAGTAATTATCATCTAACAGCTTCCAGCCTAGGCAATCCATTTCTTTATTTCCCTAAGCTGAAACATAAATTATTGGCATTTTCTGCATAGGCAATATAAACCCCCAGTTATTCAGTCCAAACCCACATGATTTCCTGACTGGTTCACTGAAAATAAGCTGAAAGGCAGCAAGGCTACAGAAACACAAGCATATTCATATTGAATAGAGACAACCCCAAAAGCCCATTGGGAAAGCTTTTTTTTCTACTAACTGATGGCAGAGCCTGTGTATTCCTGAGAGAACTCAGCTACTCTATCAGTCAAAGCGACTGAAATCTACTGCAAAGCCAATCTGGCAACTCCGATGGCTGGAGTAATTCAGCATGAATATCATTGCTTTTACTTAGGATTATAATTAGGACCTATTTGACAAATGTCACTCTAGCTGGGCCAGGGATAATGATCAGGAGTTGTGGGATCCCTACCTTCTGGGCGATAGCTCCCTGCAGGCTGAGGAGAGAGCTGCATTCCCCTTCATGGTACTCTTCTTTACATTCACGGCAGAACACAAACTGGAAAACAAACCAAAGCACGCAAGTCATAAAAACACATTAGGGATATAGACAGCGGGTTACAATCACGAAGAGTCATACAGCAGATGATCTCTTGCCCTTGTCATCCCATTAAATTCCCATAATCATCCTAATTGTGCATCTTATTATATACTCTGATCATTAACACAACAATTTGCTGTTATTTTTATACATTTCATTGGTGAAATAACATAAATGCCATTATTAAAAATGAGATTTTGCTGCATGGTCCATTTAGGGACATAAAGTCATACTAGATACTTCTGGGTGTGGTTTTCCTACCGTAAAATCTGTTTATACAAAGGGTGCTGGCTGAAACAAGCAGTTCTGCTTTATAGTGTTCGCTAATGGAAATAGTCTATTCATATTTCTGAAACAAATAATTTCTCTATGGAAAACAATTGCTGACTTGACTTTACATAGGTCATATGAAATACCATTCTTGAGAAAATGATATCTATACTTTTATAGAATGGTTTAAAAAAAAAATCCATAGAAGGAACACAATGATAGGTTACTTAACACAGGTTTTAGGTGACTATTTCTAGACACTTCATTTCTAGCAACTGTTCTGGTTTCATCTTCCTTAAATTGCATGGTTCTTTATCTAAGGCTTCATTGAAAAGTAATGTCTTTTGCAGATGAGTAAACCAATTGTCCCTAGCTCAGCCTGAGCTGTTTCTGCCACCTAAACTGATTCATATGTATCAAGATTGATGCCTTTTTTTTTTGAACTCAAAAATGAAGATACCTGTCTTGACATGCGTCAAAATCTTTGACCCATCAATGCTGCATTAAATTCTGTGTCCTTGCAGGTAAGAAGAAAAGTCAATAATGTAAAATGGGTTTCTCTTATGCTGTTTTAAAGCTATACTGTCTTGATGCAACTCCAGACTCTGAAAGATCTCTCAGCGGTAAGCCATTCTGACTGCCGTCATAAGCAAGACTGATATAACAGCCTTGATTTTTAGATACAAGCTGCATTCACATGTAATGAATAAAGGATATCAGGAGGACATGGCACTAGAACATTTGTCTGCCACAAATTCCAGCTGTTGGAATTTCATTTTGAACTCTTTCAAGCTGTCACTTTTCTAAGAAGCACTGAAAATGATATTTCACTGTCATGCTAAAGAAACTGCACTTTTATGAAAAGGAGCATTGTGCAAGTCTGAAAGGATTGATTCTGTTCTTCAGAAAGTCAGAGAAATGGGGAGCAGAGGGGTGGAGTTAGTGTTCTAACTTCCAGAGATATCAAACCTAATCACTTATTTGCTCTCTTGTCCCTTCTCTCCACTATTTTGACAATGATTTAAAACGTTTTATTTTACTTCAGGTAACACGGATTTGTTAATTCACTTGTGCTTGTTAGAATACAGCTTAACAATGGAAGCACTTTTGTAAGGTATGTTGTATGAGAGGCTGCATTATTGTAAAAGAGCATCATATGAATATAACAATTTGCACTACATTAGCAGTCAAAAGTTTCAGCTATGTTAAACACTTCTCAAATGCATAAGGAGGGGTACTCGCTGTCTGGATACCGAATATCTCAAAGACTTGTTATCCTTTAACAAATAAGGTTATGGCCAGGTTTAACTGTATTTCCTACTATTTGTCCTATTCTCTGTTTCCTTCATGATTTTATTTCCTTATGAACACATCTGGCTGAAGGGATTTTGTGTACACTTGCTTTATCACTGCCTTATCGCACAATGCCTCAGCTTGCGTTCTGCACTCCAGTCTCTCTCACTTTTCCTACACAAGTGCAATTTTAAACCTTCCATAAACACTGAAAAGGGGAAAATAATGAAGAAAGAACACCACCACCACCATCCTCCAGGCATATATTTTGCAAACAGTTTCCATCTGCCTCACAATGTAGTTTATGTGGCATTGCTATTTATTATAATAATAAAATTCACAAACTCATGCTGTATTATTTAAAGATGTGAAACGCATTTTCTCATTATAGAGCCCACTTTTTATACTTGCCTTTAAAATGGAAAGTCCTCAAGATCAACATTACCAATGTTTTCCCCATAGGATTGCTGTCCTAGAAGCATGCATGAGTGTATAACTGGGCCTTTCACTAACAGCTGTATATCCTGCAAGTAAGTCCATGAGTGAGCTTGCCACATCCTTGTAATGAAACAAAGCCTGATTTTTTTTTTTTTTTGGGGGGGGGGGAGTGAAACAGGATACTCTTTTCACATATTATTAGAAAATGGATGAGATGTAAAATCAGTTCTGTGGCAAAAGAACACCCTGGAGGCTGATCAGTTTGTCAGAATAAATAGGCATCTCCCAACAGAAATGCAGTAAGCGCTCCCTTTTTATGGCAAAGCATGCATCATAAAGAAAAGGCATGTCACAGCAAAGAGCAGTTTGTGGTAGTTTTATTCATTTTTTACATTCTGATATAAAAAATATAATAAAGTTTCAGTAATAAAATACAGCAACTGCAAAAATGCTGTCAGTCAACTTGTGTTTTGTGGCTTCATTAATATTAATACACTTATTTTGGCCTTGGAGAAAAAAAAAGGATTTAAGTGGTTCAGTCAAGATTTAAGACTTTTGCATAAATTTAATATTAGCAAATGTTTAAAATTACTATAAGTAGTGTAATTACTAATAATAGTTACACTTTCCTTTCATTTACCAAAAAAAAAAAAAAAGACTGGCAGATTATTGTGATAATATCAACAGCATATAAACTTTCTATGTCATTGTGTATTTAATACTTACTTTCATTACCCTTGAAAAATTCTTCAGTTGGAAACAACCAACACAAAGAATAAATACCAAAGGTCTCAAACCTATCCCCTAGGTTTATGCAGTAAAAAGAGGATTAGCAGGGAAAACCCCAAAGCTTTTAAGGGATTTAGGCACTGGAAATCAATATAACCTGTGTGTGTGCTATTACAGGCTTCTGAATATCTGTAAAAATGTATGTTACAGCCCTAAGCAGAAATCCTGAATCCAAGTGATCTTAGAATAGGAGGTATTTAAAACCTCAACAAGGATCCAGATCATGTTTTTAAAATCCTCCCATGTTTATGATCATTCAAACAACAGGTAAAATCAGATCAAACTCTGGTCAGCAGTATGGAATTCAAACCCCACAGATCTGCAGCGCCGACAGTGATGCCAAAAAAAAAATGAGGATAGTGAAACCAAGCTGTAGACTCAGTTATTCCTGACTGGCCTATTTATGGTGTTTTAAATTTGGGAGTGGCAGCAGAATGTAGCTTTATTTTTTTGTTTGTTTGTTTGTTTTTGTTTTGGATGAAAGGAAAACAAGTTTGTCATTTACATGCTATGCTGCTCTTTTGGAAACAAGATTTTGTCATTTTCTTTTTCCCAGCATTTCAAAGATCTGCTTTCCCTTGGATTAAGCACCAGAGCTCTCATTCTCCCTCTTGCCTACTGCAAATGCCTCTTCTTTGGTCTCTGATAGTATCTCCCTATAGTGCTCATAAAATATTACTGTCAAAATTATCTTTCTTCCAACTTCAATACAGTACTCCCATTCTGAATCCATATACAAAGCTTCCAGTTTGAGCTCCCTACTATTATTTTAAAGTTATTCCTCAAATCAGAGATTCCTTTTCTTTTTCACCCTTACCTCCTTCCTGCATGTGTCTACACAGCAGCATGAAGGCAAGATTGCTGTGAGGTATCCATAGCCAAGGTTTAATCTGCATCACTGTAAGTGCACTGCAAGTACTTCAGTGTGAGCTAAGAACTCAAGCACATACCCAGATTTCTTACCAGGCTTCTGCAGTCCATGTTGAAATCTGGACTGCCACATCTTCACTCCTACAATTATTACTATTAGCTAAACTATACACGTTTTGGCCAAAGTGTATCTTCCAAAACAGACATTCACATCCAGATTAAAGATATCAGGCAAGGAAAGATGCACTTTCATCTCTGATAATATCTCCCTGTAGTGCTCATAAAATATGACTGTTAAAATTATCTTTCTTTCAACACATAACCATGGCTCAGTGAGGCATCCATACTGTATCATCTGATAGTGATGAGACAATGCTGCTGCACAGACACCAAACACATCAGTTGGAACCCAGCCCCCTAAAGCCTTTTACTGATATCTTATGGTGATGATTTCTTAATCAGAACATTCTGTAGTTTGAAATCTTACAAAAAATGAAATTGATTTTCACAATTATTTTTTCTTATCAAACCTGTAATCTCATCATAGAATAAAATCCGTTTCCTCTGATATGACATGCTGTCATTAAGAATATATTGACTAGCAATCGTATCAAGATTGTTTTGTCTTCTCTTTCTTCTACCTTTTCTTCTACCTTTTTTTCTCATTCAGTGATGTCTGTCTGGACCCTTCACTATGGATGTGAATCACAAATTCTTAATCTACTGAATGCAGGCAGGATCAACACCTCTGTAAGTACTGAAGCTTTCTGCCAGTACTGCAAAACTAGTACAGAAAGAGACACAAAGGTTCCTCAAAACAATGACTATATAAACAAAGAAAATCAACACAGATATTTTCACCTTTCATTTAAAATGTAGCATACAAGCTTTATCCTGCCTTCTCAGGCAAGCAAGTACTTCAAGAAATCAATGCCTCTACTCACACTTTCCTCTAAAATCAAGTCTAAAACCAAGCCAAAAGAACACTACATTGTAATCATAATTCATTCTAAGGGTGAAATAAACTAGAGCTGACTTATTAATTTTATCATTTAATGAGCAGCCAGAAAATGCACATTAAGTGCTACTGTAATGTCAAAAGGCTACAGTATATTCTAAAGAGAATACAAGGGAAACCAAGTATAATCTAAGATATACATAGAACTAGACAGACTTGTTTTTATGTCTTCAAAACCAGTTTGGTTATATATTGCACATCAAAGCAAAATAATGTAGCATTGTAAGATACTTGGCGTGGCTTTGATCACCAGAGCATCATAGCATCATCCCTCTCACCG